TCGGGTTTTTTTTTGTGAGGGGAAAATCATCAAATGACTTCTCCCGCCCATAGCCGGGCGGGAGGGAGTGTCAGACTCTTACTGACTAAAAACCCCCTGTTCCTTCTCCTGCTCTGGGCCGAGGTCGCGGTGCTTCATTACGCTTACCCCGCAACCCCGGCTGACTCGGGTGCAAGCGCAATAATGTACCTACCGCAGCCTTTGACTGTAGCAGGATCAAATAATGTTGTGGTTTTAGTCAGTAAGTCTGACACTCCCTCTCGCCCCACAAAGGGTATTCCAAACTATCTTTCTGTCTTCGCACGTAAATAATAAGTTTCCTATATAAAAGAGAATGTTTGGGGCAGGCATTCCACTCGCTGGCGAAGTGCGTGGCGGCGGTGGTGGTGGAGGGCGGGTCGGACGCGCTGGACGTGGTGCGCGGCTTCCTGCGCGACATCGCGCACCCCGCCTCCGACGCGCACCACATGTTCGCGCTGCTCGCACTCGCCGAGATCGGACGACACCTGTACGTATTCTTACTACTATTCATATTACTATACTTTATCGAAAAGTATTTTTTTTATGCCGGCAAAGCAGACGGATTGCCTGATGTTAAGCAATCAGAGCCACCCATGGACACTCATAATGCCAAAGGAGTTACTACAAGTGTGTTGCCGGCCCTGTGTGTCTTCTTAGGAATTTAAGGATAGGGAATTTGAAGATTGATATTAAAAAACTAAGGAAATTTCTAATGGCTTCATAATGTTTTAGAATACTCCATAATATATACTCACTAAATCCCTACAATACAATATGAGTTATGTCTACCATCCGTTTATTGAAAAAGTCAAAGCAAAACCTGGAATTTGTCGTACATCCCAGACCCTTACCAAAAAATTGCAATAGTACATAGTAAAATACTTGTTGCAGAGATTTAAGCTCCATACCGAATTTGAAGGAGGCCCTTCTAAGTTCGTTCACGCCTTCATCCGAGGAAGTAAAGTCGGCCGCTAGTTACGCGCTCGGATCGGTAGCTGTGGGCAATCTGCCTGAGTTCTTACCATTCATACTGGGAGAGATCGAGGCACAACCCAAGAGACAATACCTCTTGTTGCACTCTTTGAGGGAGGTAAGTTGTATATACATAATATTTTCATATTATTGACTAGACGGTTAGCGCAGTGGCTGGGCAACTGGCTGATGTGCAACGTGTCGCGGGTTCGATTCCCGCACTGAACAGCACTTTGTGTGATCCACTAATTGTTGTTCCGGGTTTAAGTGGCTTGTGTATGTTTTTAATAGCACCCACGACACAGGAGAAAATTCTAGCATGGGATAGCATTTTTTTAAAGAAACATAATAATATGAATTTTCCAACACTTATCTATAGGTACTAATATTAACAAAAGGTGAAATTTGTAACTTTGGAAGTTTGTATGTACGGGGTAATCTTTGAAACCACTGGTCGAATTGCCAAAATTCTTTCACTGATAGATGGCTACAATGTCCCTGGATGCTATAGATAGAGTATAAAACATCATGCTACGATCAAATGGAGCCGAGCAGTAGGTGCAACTGCGCGAAAGAAGCTAGTGCAAAATAATTATAAAATACTGGCAATAGCACGCTTGTTACGCGAAGTTTTCGGTAAATTTTTGAATCTCTCGAATTTAAACCTTGTTGAAATGAAACCTATATGATCAATTGTTTGTTAATATTCAATACAAAATTATTGTTGTGTTTAGATAATCTCATGCGAATCCTGCACTCCTGAAGGTGTAGAAGCCCTGAGGCCGTTTATCCCAGAGATCTGGGTTCAGCTCTCTAAACACTGTCAGTGTGCAGAGGAAGGATCACGCAATGTTGTGAGTATTAACATTATGTTATTGTGCTATTTCATTTTGATATTGGCCTTAATTTCATCCTATAGTATTTTTAATTTTACAGCTGTTTAATTAATATAAACAAAGCAGCAGTAGTTTACATTTAGTTGAATGATTTCAGTGTAACATATTAATGAACAAATGGTTTTAGGTCGCGGAATGCTTAGGAAAGTTATGTTTACTAGAGCCACAAGACTTATTACCACACTTGAAGGAGTTCCTCAAGTCACCGGAGCCACTCACAAGGACAACTGCAGTCACAGCTGTTAAGTTCACAATATCAGACCAGGTTTGTCACATTTTCTTATTATACAGTGTGTAATAATACTGTGCATGTCTTTTTATTAAACAAGTTTTCTTGTTCTATGTTCTAGTCTCATTATGTACTTTCTTCAGAGACTGAGTTAAGAGTTGTTGAGGGAGGTGGTGATGTTTAATTTATGTAGCAATGTAAATAAAACATCAGCCTGTTTTATCAAATAATCCTATAATGAGCGAATAATTGAGAAAGTATAAATATCAATCATACAAGTGTGGGAGAGCCATGCTTCGGCACGAATGGGTCGGCTCGACCGGAGTGATACCACGGCCTCACAGAAAACCGGCGTGAAACAACCACAGCGTTGTGTTTCGCCGTGTGAGTGAGGTTACCGGAGGCCCAATACTTCCCCTTCCCGGACCCTTCCCCAATCCCTAAATCTCCAAATCCCTAATCCCTAAAAGGTCGGCAACGCACTCGTAACTCCTCCGTTGCGGGTGTCCATGGGCGGCGTTTATTGCTTACCATCAGGTAACCCGTCTGCTCGTTTGCCGACTTATTACATAAAAAAAATACATAATTTATTGTAAAATTGACACTGGTTCGGTAAATAACTAAGTACAAAATATTTTTTCATAATTTAAATTGCAGCCTCAAGCGATCGACCCTCTACTCCGCGGCTGTATGTCGGAGTTGCTGGTCCCGCTGCGCGACCCCGAGCTGGGCGTGCGCCGCGTGGCACTGGTGGCCTTCAACTCGGCCGCGCACAACAAGCCCTCACTCATACGGGACCTGCTGCCGCAAGTACTGCCTACCATCTACAGCGAGACTAAAGTTAAGGTATGTGCCGTTGATGAAATATATTTTTTATGGTCATTTGTTATGTCTTGTATGAAATAAAGGTGGTGCTTTTTTTCAAATATACATCTACGTTTGGGTTTATGTTGTTTCCTATGTAAGAGACCATATTGCCATATATCAATATCTTATAAGCAAATAGACGAATTCAATTATTTCTTCAAATAATTCAATACCTTCCCAGTCTTTCGATAGATCTGAAGCGTTTCCGATTTCGCGACTTTTATAATTATATCAATGGACTCAAAAAATAAATTTTGTACCAACAGAAAGAACTAATCCGCGAGGTAGAAATGGGTCCCTTCAAGCATTCAGTGGACGATGGTCTAGACTTGAGGAAGGCGGCGTTCGAGTGTATGTACACGTTGCTGGGGACATGCCTGGACAGGCTCGACGTGTTCGAGTTCCTGCGCCACGTGGAGGACGGGCTGCGCGACCATTACGATATCAAGATGCTCACATATCTCATGTGCGCCAGATTGGCTCAGCTGTGCCCCGCTGTCGTATTGCAGAGTAAGTTGATCTTTTTTTTTAAGTTATAGGATGACAAACAAGCAGACGGATTACCTGATGGTAAGCAATCAGCACTGCCCATGGACATCCGCAACAACGGAAAAGTTACCAGTGCATTGCCGATCTTTTGGGGATTTAGGGATTGGAGGAGGGGAAGGATTCACACTTTATTTACTTCTGTGATCTTTAATCTTCTTCTTTTTCATATTTTACTTTTCGTCTCTCTCATAAAAGTTTTTGATACGATTCAGTCGCTGGCTTACGTATTCATACTTACGAACATCGTCATAGCAGAGACAAACCTTTGCGTAACTCATACATATCCGTTACGAGTCCCATTCTTACCAAAGCACTAGTCGCTATGCTATTTCCCGTATAAATAAAGATTTTCTTTGTACAATTAACATATTTAAGACCTTATTAACCATGTATTGTTTTCAGGGCTAGAAAGTTTAGTAGAACCCCTCAGAGCGACGTGCACAATGAAGGTGAAGGCTAACTCCGTGAAACAAGAATACGAAAAACAAGATGAACTCAAGCGGTCCGCGCTCAGGGCAGCCGCCGCGCTCTTACAGATACCAGAAGCTGGTAAGTGCCAATAAAAAAGAAAAAAAAAATGAAAATAAGACCAATGGTGTCCAATAATAAGTAGTAAACAAACTACAGCTTTATAATATTAGTGTAGATAACGAAAGTGTGTGAGTTATGTCTTGCGATAGTTACTGACTTTAAAAATGACTCTTTAATTTACAGAAAAGAATCCTCACCTGATGGACTTCGTGACACAAATCAAGTCGTTCCCGGACCTGCAGCCTATTTTCGAGTCCATCCTAAAGGACTCGTCGGGCGGCGGCGGCGTGGACTCGAACCTGATGGACCAGAGCTAGCCGCCCTGACTCCCCACCTCGCATCTACTCTCCCACGCTGCGACCAACACCTCGAGGTTCTACTTTATTTTGGTCTATTTTGTTGTTTCGTTTTTGTAAGAATGCATATTATTTTCATTCATGTCAAATGTAAAAATGATTGAAATTGAATAGAAGTTTAGTATAATACGATATTTTAATTTCGCTTTTTATTGAGATGAAATAAGAGTAAGTTTGATTCAACAGCTTTATTATAAAGATACAAAGTACATAACTAAAACATTAGCACTAGTCGCGTGTCGCGTCCTTGACGTTTGTGTTAGACGTCTGAAGGCGATTGCTCCGGTGCCCAAGGAAACTAAGGACGTAAGGAATTAGGTTTCGTCACAGTTCGCGTAACTAGCGTGACGGCGGCAATCAGACTTGCATAACTATCGATAACTGGGCTAAAGTTGTTAAGCTTTGAAAGTACTCAATAAATTGAATAGACAACTAGTCGCTGTTAGCGGTAGCATTCTATCGATAGTCATACAGAATAATTTATTTTATTGATATGTATTGTGATATTACAAGCTATGTGGAAAATCATAGGAAAATGGATAAATACACTATAATGAAGCGAAATCTTTATAGTATCAGTTATTTCCCTTTCCTCTTGGCTGCAGGCGTTGCGCTGGCTGGCCGCGGTACATCATTCTGCAAAATTAAAAAGTAACGACAACAGATTTCATTGTGGCTATTAATCACTTTTCAAAGTTCAAAAATGTGTTTATATATCGTACCGGTTTAGCAGGCGAGGCCCGGGCCAGTGTGGAGCTACTAGCGTTGCGTAGTGGCGGCCGGGACGAGCTCGTCATATTGCCCATCGCACTTGCCGGTCGCTCCGGGCTCAGCTCTTTGCTAAATATAATAAAAAAAATGTTTATTCTTCCTCTAATACGGTTAAAATATCCATTACACAGTTAAATTAAGTAACTAAGGTTTTTTCAAGGTGATATTTCAATAAGTAATATTAAAACGTTTAAAATGTATGTTCCTGCATCATTCTAACATAGTCAACTGACTATGGTAGAATGTGTTGTTTGACAATTTATCGTAAAATGGGAATAAAAGGTGTACCTTTTATTCCCATTTTATACTAATACAAATACATTATATACTAATATGAGGAAAACTTTGTATGTTTGTTAAAGAACATGCTCTAAACTACTGGACAGATTCCGATTCCGAGTCCGTCATTCATACTGTTATGTGGGAAGAAAAAATAAAAAAAAATTTGGGGCTTTCGGACACAAGGTGATAAAAATCAACTAGAAAAGTTACTCTGTAGTGGTTTATTTTGATTTTCTTTTGAGATACGTAATCCTGCCACAAATTCGGAATCACGCAGACGACGTCGTGGGTAGAAGCTAGTTATATGTAAACGGATATTGATGATAATGGTGACAAACCTGTTTGTGCGTGACATTGGTCCTTTTCTGCTAAACATGTCAGAGAGGCGTCCTCGCAGGTCACGCTTGCTTCCCGCTGCGCTCATGTCTGAATCCGATCCCTGCTGATTCGTATGATAGTACGGATTTACATGATCATTTTATACAAACGGAAACTAGCGGTTGAATAGGAAAGTGCAATAGAATAAAAGGAATTCGATGTTTCTTTTTAAAACATGATTAGTTAAAATGTGGGACAATTTTTGTAGTAAAATTGTCGAAACTGATCAATGTGATCTGAGTGCCTAGCACGAATGACTATCGTAATCGTAACGTTAACGTATCGAGACGTCGATACTTCATGTGACGAAAACGGAATGTCGCAGCACGAAGCCTATCGTATCGTCTAGCGAGAGCTCGAATCGAATTCGTTAGTGACGTCATGCTAATGTAAGCTAGAGAAGCACCCAAGTGAACGAATTGAATGAATTCTTGAACATAATTTAACATAAAGATTTCGTCTGAAAACTAAAATTAATTTTAAACATATTTCAACCTTCGTCTACACCTTTTATGGTATTATATTTAAATGAAAAAATATATATTACGTGAAAGAATTCTTAAAACGAGTCAAGAAGTATATAAAATGACTTTATCTTTGAAAAAAATATTATTTGGTTATTTAAATTTTGTAACCTAATTTACGATTTCCGAACGTTCTTTTGACAAAGGTGACATTTGACGGCTATGGACGTATTTTTTTTTAACAAACAAAACAAAGAATGTAGATAAGTAATTATGCGGCTATCTTATTATGCGGTTACTTTAAATTTATTTTAAAATGAGGAGGACTCGGCTCCAATACGAATTAATGGTGGATTTCATGGAATATGCCAGTGACAAGCAGCGAGCCTTCAGTGTTCCGACCACTCCGCAGTACCCATGAAGCCAGCCGTTCACCGACACCACCAGTCGCCAATCCTCCATTAGAAAAGGAATGCTGGAAGCCTCGACCGAAAACAAAAATGTAAAGGGAGTTTAATCAAATTGTGTTTAGAGAATGATAAGAAACCTAGGGAGTTTGCTAGGGAGCGTGAGGAAACATAGGATATAATGGAACAAGAGCGTTTGGAATTACGACGAGAAGAATGAAGAGTAAGACAGAGAGATGCAGAGCTCCTTTTACAGGCTCAGTGGCTGGAACTTTTGAGAGAGGCAATAAATGTAATAAAATATAATCTAGTTAAAAAGATGATTAATGTATATTTACATATTTTATTTTAATTTTAATGTATATTACTACATTTTGGAATGAGGAAAGATTATGTTAGAATTGAATTTAAAATGTCTCACTATAGTTACCTATTATAAAAACATAGGTAAGAATAGTTTTTAAGTTAGATTAGTGTGTAAGATGTTTTGGAAATGTATAATAATAAAACACTTGGGTCATCTGTGTAGTATATTTATTTGCTGTACCAGAATATTACTTAACGCCCTTTCACTTATCAAATCATCGCTTCTATCATTTTCATGTCTCATATCAGAAGATGAGGTATGAGACAAGTCTTGATGTTCAGCGTTGTATCTACCTGTGGCTCAGGCACATTGAAATTTATGACCAAATTATGCAACACGCAGCAAGCCGTTGTCAAGCACATTTTTCAGGAGCATAATTCAGAGTGCGGTCTTTGCACAAGCATCACCTCTTCTTCTTTTACCGCAGTATATTGTGGCCCGGAGTTCCCTCTACCGCATCCAAAATGAGTAGGCGTCATTAGCCATGGTCGCTGTGGGTAGCCAGAATCACCTGTAAAAAAATACTTATTAGAAAACCTAATTTATACTAGCTACTTCCTCGCGGTTTCACCCGCTGCTCGACTCCTATTGATTTCATTTTAGCATTATAAGGTGAGTTTTTTGTTGGAGTTGCTCACAGAAGTACTTGAAGGCTTCTTTATTTAGGCGGTACCTAGTATTTCTAAACTACGTTTCAGTGATATCCATTGGATTAGATATCTTTCTGAATTTAGCTCGGCACACGATTTCTTTAGAATAATCAGTTAATTCGTATTATTTTCTTGAATGCATATGTATGTGTATATTAAGTGAAACATAACTTGAATAGGTAGGTACTTAGGTACTTACGAAGTTTCTCTTGACTCTTCATCTCCAAGTAAAATAGCCACAAATAAACTATTTCTCCAACTTGGTTCGTACAGCGGCGGTTTTGCGTGATGTTATACTCGTAAAGGATACTCACAAACCTTATAATATATTATTTAAAACACGATTGAAATATTTCGAAACCTTTCTCACCGTCAAATTCTTAGTGACAAATGTTTCGACAGTTTTCGATAGCCAGCCTTCGAAACTTACGTTACTATACGTCAAAAGATCGTTCGTGCTTCCAATTTGTGTCAAAATGTTCTAAGTTTCGATAGCAACACGATACGATTACTATACGATAGTTGTCAAAATCATTCGTGCTTGCGATTTTTAGTTCCTTTTACGCACGGTAGGGGCGCTGTACAAATCCCATAGAAAATGCTTTCGATCTCGATACGAATACTTTCTCGATAATGTTCGTGCTAGGCACACAGTATATTCTGTTCACGCGTATCACTATATGAGATACAAATGAATGTAGAAGTGCCAAAAGTAATAGCAATTGTGTGTTACCTGAGACACCGTGCCAATAGGTCTGAACTCCACATGCTCTGTGCTGTCGTGAACTTGGTCGTCAATAGAACGAGACTTGGTCAGCTTTTTCAATTTTCCGAAGATGCTCTTCTTTTTCTTCTTTTCTGATGGGAGTACTTCGCTTTGAGCTGATCCACCGGACAACCGACTGTGAAACAGAACAATAGTTATAGTTACAAACAATCAAGTAAGTCGTGTTTGCAAAAGTCTATTGAAATAAGTAGAAATACTTAATGGTGAATTAGTGAGTACTAGAAAAACCCTAGCTAGAACCACATCATATCGAGAGAATCTTGTAGCTGACGAAGAATAAAAGCAGAAAAGTATAAGCGCATTTTCTTAGGTCAAAACTAAATTAATTCGACGTTTCAACACATTAAAACATTGAAAAATAACTATACTCTGTCGATACACAATTTTTTCGATCATTTTTAGCAAATTTTTAAGGAATGAGTAAGCTGTTTGACGAAAAAATACTATGATGTCGTAATTTGGAGATTCATAGAAAAGTATCGTTTGTGACATTTGACTAGTTGGAAACTGTCATATTATCTATACTTTATTTATATACCTGTCTAGGCTAGCATCTCGTTGCATAGTGAACAGCCGGTTGTCCGCGTCTCCGTCTAACGACTGCATTGAGGACACGCTGCTCTCATCCACCGACTTCCATATTAGGCTCTGGTTACATAAAAATACCAATATTTTATAGTAATTGAGTAAAATATATCTTATTAGAACGATGAACAGCGGTGACACCATCTTAGCATAGTAAAATTAATAAACGAGGCTATATTGAAATGTAAGTGGAAATTTTAACAATCAATGAAATATGATTTCATGGATTATAAGAATTTTCCCTTTGCCCTATTCATGAAACATCTAAACTTACCTGATCCTTTGTAGTCTGTTCAAGGGAAATGGATCGTTTTTTCAGCGAGGGTGCACGAGATGGAGTGCGCGTAGCTGGTGATACGGACAGTGTGTCACGAGGCTCAGTCGACATCGCTCTGTTGGAAAAAAATAATTGCTAAAGAAATAAATTAAAAAAATATATTAAGAAACGCCTACGCCAGTTAAATTAGCACGATATAAAAATGGGCTTTATTTAGAACCCTACTTAGCCTTAAGGAAACTTTGTATCATTACGGTGATCCTGTAAGTATGTTTGTAGTGGGTTACCTCCTAGCAGTGGCTTGGTGTCGTCGTTGCCTCTCGGCAATTCGTGAAGCGCGCAGTTCATCAGTAAGGCGTCGCAGGCGCGCTGCAGTCGTGGCCGCGTCCACTGCGCTTACACCGTTCTCTGGCGTCGCCGACCGAGACCGGGACTTCGATGACTGGACAGAAATAGTTGATTTTAGTTTTAGCTTATATTATTGTAGTAAAAATACGGACAAATATGTTTCGACTTAATCATAGTAATGTGTTTCGACATAATTGAAAAAAAAACCATTTGCACTTTCATTACCACTACGATTTTCACAATGATATTTCCGTTGCCGCCTACATTTCTCGTACATTTTACGTTGAACTCTCTGGGCGAGTCCTCGGGGCTGGAATGTGTTAAATTAAGGTAAGTCACATGGAATTTCTGACTCACCCGGTTTCGTCTTGGTGGCGTAGGTGTTAGCAAGTTCTTCTCTGGTCTAACAGGAGTATCATTGCGGAACAAGTCAGGACTCTGCTTCATCAAGTCGTCTATAGTTTCTAGAAGCTGCGTTATTATCCTGTCATCCTCCTGCAAAATGTGAAGAATGCGTAACAGACTAAAATAAAACATGTTTTAAACTATAAACTAAAAACTTTGCTTCGTCCTTAAAGTGAGTAAAACTTATACATTAATTAACAGGTAAGTTAATTTTATGTACTTAGAAATCTTACTAGAAGAAGAAAGCTCAATTCTCAGATCACGCTATCCCAGTGTTTTTGATTACACATTATACTACATACCGTACCATTATAGTAAATACCAGCATATAACTTACTAAGTGGTTTAGAAACTATCTAAATATATAAAAGGAGAAAGTGACTGACTGACTGACATATCAACGCACAGCCTACGGCTAAGCTTAGGCACTTGAAATTTGGAAGGGATGTATCATAGGTATCTTTAAAGGGCACTAGGAAAGGAATTCCCAACATTCGCACGGGAACGGGAAGAGAGAGACGACACCTACCTAATTTTATTTTTACTTTGGTTTTGTTTTGCAATAGGTTGCTTTTTATCAACACACCACGCGGCCGAAGCTGCGGGCGGAAGCTAATCAAAAATATTGTCCATGCTCACCTGTTGGGCACGTTTGAGTGAACCAACAAGAAGTTTGTTCTGGTCCCGATCTCGGTCATGTCGTTCCTTATCGCGACGCAATTTCTCATTTGCAGTACGTAACTTAGCGTGCGCGTCTCGAAGCTCCAGCAGATCACACTGTAGTTCTGTCACCTAGAAAATAGAGTGAACGCCTATAATAATGACGGTTACACAAAAATTAACTTCTTGATATTTAGAATTGAGTTGATTTTGCATTGCCTTCAACTGTGATATTTATCATTTGATCTGCCAATGCTTACCTTCTTTTTAGCTTCTTCCGTCTCTTCTTCAGTAGTTCTCTTCAATTGATCTATTCTTCTCTTCATGTCTAACCTTTCTTTCTCTCGTTCGCGTTCTATCTGAAAATAGGAATTATAGTTAAGAAGTATGTTAAAATTAATTAATTGTTTATGTAGGAGTAGGAATCCCATGATCATCATGTTGTAAGAGTTGAGATATATCCTTGAATATATGCAACATAAATTCATACACTTCGAGCATTAGGTCAAATATTTTAATTTACGTAATTGCTATAATTATTCGTTTCGTCGATAAGTCGAATTTTACCATTAATTCGTAGGCAAACTTAATGAATTCGTAACAAAGTGTTAAGATACCTCAAAGAGTGTCTGCCTCAAGTCCCTGGCGAGTGTGGAGGTTTCCTGCAGTAGGCGCTGTTGTTCATCACGTTCCTTGTGCCACGCCAGTTCCATACGTGTCGCTAGACCTGCCACACGCGCTCTACCGGATGTCAGCAAACGCTCTTCTTCGTACTGTGTAGCAAAGCATTTCAAATATCAGCCATGTTAGGACATCCTTGGATGAACGGCGAAAAGCTGGTGCGCATTGTGTTGCGAGAGATATTCGGATTGAGACACCACAAAGTTGTACCCTGATTGTGAAACGAAGATATACCGTTCGTTCGTCAAAACTTCTCACAACAGCTTAGTCCAGAACATATGGTAACACTGTTTCTGGGCTGTGGAAGATATTGAGGGCAGTAGTTCTAGGTTAAATATTTGCACTCAACTATTCTGAAAATAGGTAACATCTGCATCTGTTTACCTCATTGAGCCTAGACTGCATTTCTGCGAATCGAACTTCAGCTGCGGAGCGCTCGCTGATGAGCTCTGTGTTAAGTTTTGACGCTAGCAGTCTTGCTTCGCAGAGCTCATCCTCTAGGCACGCTGTCTGCTGTTCCAGTGTTGCCACTTTGTTACGATATTCCTCCTGAAAAATCACCAATAAATTGATATAAAAATATGCTAGATGCTAGAAGATACCTAAAATTACCGGCACTCAACGGTACTTGTAAAAAGCAGCAGGTCTTGTCTAATTTAGAAAGTTTTTTTTTGTGAAATGCTTTGTTACGGAACTACACGCTCAGCATAAAAGTTTACACTTGGCAATACACTTCAAACAGTACAGCTAAGTCTAACTTACCTCATCAGTACTAGATATTGAATGCCTTGGTGTTCTAGAACTTTTTTCACCATTCTTCATTTCTGACATCGTCTTCTGAGCAGCATCCAACATTTGTTTGTAATTGTCTCTCTCGCGTCTGAACCTTGACACCTGAAGGTGAACATGAAAAATGTGTTTTAAAGGTCTTATGAAAAGGATAGGCATGAATGATGGACACCCTGGAATCGTGATAGGAAAACAAGAAGAAAGTGGTTGCTCACCTGATTGTGCAAAGACTTGAGTTCATCTCTCATAGTGTTCATCTGTCCTTCGTACCTAAGCTTCATTTCTGCTAACTCATTCTTTCTAGCTACGTCAGCTTGTTCAAGTCTTGTATTCAGAGAGGACAGTTCACGCTCCAATTCTGCATTTTCTGTCGTTAAAGTCCTCTGTACTTTTGAAACACGTTCGTAGTCTTCCAATTTCTTTCTTGCTTCCTCCAACTGGAAAAGTTAACAGAAATATTTAAGTATATACTATATATATACGCCTTGTTGGTTCTCTTATGGAGTTTGTAGTAACTGGAGTTACTAGAACTCCATAAGAGTCAAAATAAATGTCCCATAAGCCTTTTTTTGAGGTTGCAAAATCTTCTTATTTCTTCTCCCACTCTTAGTTGAGCGAGACCCTTACAGATTACAAAACTTCCCCATTTCTTCTCATATTGCGCTAGCACCTGCGACTGTCACTGGATATCGGCCCCATCTGCGGGCGTCTGATCCTTTTGAGCAGAGCGCAGAACGCGGCGCGCCTTACGCTCAGGTTAGGGTTTCGACTTTTTCTTAAAATTTGTATTTTCGATTTACCTCTTTCTTCGCCTGATCATGATGGTGCTCTAAAACGTCTCGTTGGTCGTTGACGGTGCGCAGTTCACGCTCTCGTTGTTCGAGTTTAGCGTTAAGGCGCGCGCGCTCCACTTCCCAACCACCACCACACAGACGATCTTGTAGCGATGAAATAGAGTTCTGTGGAACAGAAAGGATATTTTAATCTCGGACTAATAATCTTCTTCTATGTTTTACCATACCTACAGAGTTGTTGGTCTAGCTATTCACTCTATATTATTTATATCTATTCGACTTATATATATCTTCGTATGTTTTTTCATGAATATGAATGATATCTAATAAAGTTGATGCGATTACTAAAACTAACCTGCAGTTCAGTTTTTTCTTTAGTCCACGCTGAAGATTGCGTGTCATAGTTATCTTGTAGAGTTTTGATTTCGGCCAACGCTGAGGCTAATTCTTTCTGGACGTGTATAAGTTCACTGCAGAAAATAACGATATTAGTAATCGGTGCATTTTTAATCTTCTCCGACAATTAAGACACAAGCGCTATACAAACACTTACCCCTGAGCTTGCTCCTTTTCTACAGTAAGCCTTGCCTTAGTGACTACGTGTTCCTCTTCTAAGATCTCATATTTGCCCGTCAATTCCTCATATTCCGCCTTCTCTACTGCGAGAGAGTGCTCCAATTCTGCGAAATGAATAAAAAATACTATGCATTGAATTTTTCAAATGTTTTCACGTTAATTGTAGTAGTTAACGTACTTTTAACAGTTTCCTCGTATTCCTGTTTGAGATCAGATATCTTCTTGGCGCCCGCACCTGAAGATTGTTCTAGAACTTTTAGTTTACCTTTAAGAGTAGCCAATTCTGCTTCTTTATTCTTGATATCTACATCGTGAGCCTTGCGCATACGTTCCAGTTTCTTACGTTCAGCCTAAAAAAAGAAGTATTAGACCATTTCTAGATGCTTAGTATCATGTTATTCTATAACAGAGTGAGTAAGTTGGTATACGTCCAACTGTACCTGCAAATCAGTTTCAAGTTCGGAAGCCTTGCTCTCCCAGTAACTCGACTCCTTCTTTTCTGCTTGCAATTTGTTTTCATGCTCTTTCTTTTCGCTCTCTAATTTCGAAATACTGGATTTCAACTGAATCATCTCTGACTTGACGATCGACAGTTCTTTCTCGGTACTTTCTAGCTCCTTCTTAGCATTTGTTAATTCTTCTTGCTTCTCTTCTAGTTCCTTGGTAGTTCTTTCCAGTTTGTCTTGCATTTGTGCCATTTCTACTGACGATATAGCTTCATCATACTTTTGGTTAGATGTATCTCGTAAAGCTTCCTCCTGCAAACATAGTCAAGGTTTTATTTTGATACTTTTTTATGCAGATTCCTCAGTGCATGAGGTCTAAAAATGCAACTAGGGTAACACTTGGGGCTAAAGTAAGGCAGTGGATGTGGCGGAAACATGCGTATATTCAAAATATCTAGAAATAAGCTTTTGGTAGGCAGTGTAAACTATCTTGGAGTAAAAGTTTGCTCAAAGGGGTCATGCGTAGGTGCATGCCTATCAATCAGTTTAACAAAATACCAGTTGTTTAATATGAATATCTTTTGCAGATATCGTTGATTCCAAATTAGTTATTTTAGACTCGTAATCTGATTTCATTTCTCTCAGTTCCGTTTCTAGTGTTATGAGTTTGCTTTCAGTCTTAATTAGTTTTGTTTGCATTTGATCTTTCTCGCTAGTAAAATCTACTGAGATGCGTCTTTGGCTGTTGGCAAGTACTTCTGCTTGTTCCTTTTCTTGAGAGAGCTATTTTCATAAGATATAGTTAAGAAAATGATTTTAATACATTGAATTGAATGTAAATTATCTGCAATTAATGTTTGGTATTCTTACCTCCTTTTCCAATTTAGCCACCTTGTCTTTGCGTACAGCTAATTGTTTTTCAACACGTTTGCATTTGTCTTCTGCATCCTTTAATTTCTTTTCTAAGTCACCTATCTTTTTGGCCTTGTCTCCGACCTAAAACAAAAATGAAATAGATACAAGAAAATTAAAGTGAAAATGTCTTATACAAAATTACAAAAAATATGTAGGAACTCTTCGTTTGGCAAGGACAAAAATGTAAACGTGTAACTACACCTACCTCTTTGAGCAATTTTTGTTTATCCTGTTCTAATTTATTCAAATTTTCTACTTGCTTCTTTAACTTATCAATTTCTTTATCTTTTACATCAATTTCATTTTTAAGTTCTTCTATTTTCTTCATACAGTCGGACATAGTAGTTTGTAGGGATGTTGCATTTTCTGAAACAACGTCAAGCACAAGATGATAGAGGTAGCAAATCAATTTGATTTAAACTCCAATTCTATCTTCGGCTTCGTAGAATTAAAGATAAATCCTGTTTAGATTTCAAATGTTTTAGTTAATGGTAAAAACTAGTGACTAGTGAACAGTGAAGTCAAAATCAAAATGAATAATGATACTCACTCAGTTCATTATTTAGTTTGCTAACTTGCGCTTCTAAACTTTTCTTATCCTCTTGCAATGTTTTTATTTGACCAGTTATACTGCTATTGTCTTTTTCTAGAGATTTTAATTTGCCATTTATTTCAGTTTTGTCAGTTTCTAATTTTGCATTGAGATCCTTTAGTTTAGCAATTTCAGTTTGTAAACGATTTTTCTCGTTTGTGAATTCAGAGTTGTTTTTGGATAATTTAGATCTAATTTCTTCAATATCTTTCTCCATTTGAGCTCTGGTGTTAATTTCGTTACCCGACAGACCAGCATTTTTCATGACAACGTACATTTCCCCTGAAAAAATAACGCTTTATTACTTTAAGTGCACCAACCAAACCTTTTGTAAACGCTAGTAATTTAAGTTGGAAAGGTTACCAATTTCATTTTCCAACTCTTCAACCATTTTCTTCATTTGAAGTTTAGTCGTTAAATCCGTTGGTTTCTTTGGAACTCTTGGCCTGAATGATTTTATTGCGTCTTCTTTCAGGACTTTCAATGAAACTTGTAATTGGGCTTTCTCTTTCTCGAGCTAAACAAAAATTACATACTTATTAGAAAAAAAAGACATAAAAATAATATTTTAATAAAGATTTATGATTAGGTACCTTATTGAAGTTTAGTTTTAATTTATCTAATTCTTCTTGTTTAGCTTTTAATGCATCCGCATCTTTTTTGTTGTTGATTTCTCCACCAAATCTGACTTTTTTCTCAGTCTTGTCATCTTTGTTATTTTCGAATTCTTTTAATTTGTTTAAAGCTTCTTTTAGTTCATTTTCTAGTTGCGTTATTTTTGCTGCATTCTGTTCTATCGATTTGTCAGATTTCAAAGTTTTAGTGTTTTTGAGTAGCTGTAATTTCTTGTTTTCTAATTGCAATTTTTCATTGTCAGCTTCTAAACTCTGCGTCTTGGCGCGAAGTACATTCGCTTCTTGTTCTATTACTTGAAGTTGTCTTTTCAAATCGACATTTTGTTGGTCACCATCCAGTGATCTGAAATTTTACAATGAGTAGATGGTTTATATAATTATTGTTTTATAACACAAGTTGTTGGGAAAGAAATACTTACTTGCTCTTAATAAGTGAAGCTTTTGGTTTCTTTGATAGACTGAGCTCAGCATGTAGCCTCTCACAGTCTCTTTCTTTTTCAATAAGCTTTTTCCTTAACTCGGCAATTTCATCTTCTAATACCTACAAGTTATTGTAAAACCTGCGTTATATCAATATGTTATTTTGTGATAGTTAAGTATATTATATTAATTACGTACTTTTACTTTTTCTTCTGCTAAGTTATTGCTCTTGGTATTCGTGGCCCGCCGAAGAGTAACGGTCGAATTATTTTTGGGCTGACTAGCAATTTTATCAGTAAGCTCTTTCACTTGTTTTTTCAACGAATCTTTTTCTTGTTCCATTTCCTCAACTTTTTTTCGTAAAACCGTTGTTTCCTGAAATTGGCGGAATTAATAATAAAGTCATATTTAAGATTTAAGATAATAGAAAATACATATTACATAGTGGACAATTGTGTAAGCACCTGTTCATTGAGTTCAAGTAAGAGCCGTAACTCAGCTGGATCTTCGTCGTCTGTTTTGGCATCTTTTTCATTAGTATCAACACCGAGTTTATTTGAAGGAGGTGTTGGAGACAGCTTTCGGCCTATAAGTAATGTCGATATGTGTTACATTAAATGAGTACATATGTTAAGTTCAATAATATTAAGCTTAAACACTTTAGTTATTAATTATGCAAAAGGTTTTTTGATGAAAATTAGTAATATTTAATGGTACTGAGTCATTGTTCCGGATACGGATGTTGAACAATGTAGTGGATAAAATTATAAACCCAAACATTGTAAAAGATTCAACAAGGTCTAATTCTGACTGGAGAAAATGGCTACCATCAATACGCCGTGTAACTCATATACATTGACAAGCGTGTTAGTAAACATCGAGGAACAAAGGTAATGTTAGAAATTAATGGTTACAAAAGTAGTCAAGTACACAATGAAAATGATGAATCACAACCGGGTTCTGATGAGCGGTGGATCTTGGAAGAGAGTTGTTAGAAAAACACAATCGATTTTTCACAATTCAAGTAAGTAGTTTGACGTACTTCTGGCCTTGGTAGCCATTTTCTTCAGCTGTAGAAGCAAGGACTCATTGTCGTCCTCGACCCGTGACGCAGTTTTACGTAAGTTATTTGCCTGTAAATATTCGTTAGTTAAAATTATTTAAGATCTATTCTAAATTACTGTCAGAACCAAAACTGTTCAGGATTCTGTTAAGGACAATATACAGGATGAAGAAAACCAACATGTAAAACAGACAAATTGGACATAAGTACCTATGTTTGGCATTCTTACTGCCAGCGGACTGAACAGTGATACGAAGGGCATGGGGTAGGGAGAACGGGACTCTGGTGTTTTATCTGGAGTAAGGGGAGGACTTTCAGATTTATCTCTACTGAATATTTCATTGACTTCTAGCGTATCCATTAGAAGATCTCGATCAAGCACTTTATCTTCGTCAATTAAATCAGTTAGTGTGCTAGCGTCCACGAACTCTTTATAGTTGTTGACAGCTTGTAGAGCTTTATGGTCATACAACTTAGCCGCCGTCTGCACACTAGCATTCCTTAATTTCTGTTTTTCAGTTTGCACAAAATTATTCATTCTCATAAATTCAGTTTGCATATGTTTATTTTTCATAAACGCTACTTCTGTTTGCGTATACATTTCCAATATATCTATTGTACTTTGCACAATCGAATCAAGAGTAATCTTTTTAGTGTCTGTCATCACATCATGTACTAAAATAGTATCCGTTTGGCAACCTTCGGAATAACTAGTAATGAGATCTTGTGGGGATTGAGTGACCTGGTTAACACCAATGGATGATGGGCTACTATCGAGTGATGACAAACTCTTTTCTAAAGCTAGTTGCATTTCAAGTATTCTTTGGATCGTATTTGGTTCTAGCACTTCACTATCGCTGATGGGTTTTTGAGGTGAGATTGGATCAGATTTAGGTGACTGTGGAATGAGTTGTGGACGTATCCTCTTGCCGACGACGCGTGGCCGATATCGACTAGCCTGTTTGAACATAATATTCCTTATTTTTTATTTCGCCACAGAGGAACATATGGTTATGGAGAATAACAATGTGATATATTCACAAATATATACGAATGTCGCGGTGTGAGTCAGACAAGTGTTGGCAGTGCGCCAGCTGGCATCTGTCGAACGAGAGCTAATGCCCTAATGAATGCGTTGTTTTTCTAGGGGAACTAAATGATCGGAGAAATAAGTGGTTGTAATGGTATTTAACTGTTAACAAGAGATGAGTTATCGTTAACTGTGACTATTTATGCACGTGTTTATTGCATTCCAAGCTCGGACGTAGAATCGAGTAAAGCGCAGGTACTTGTATAATATTAAGATGTTGATGCTGCATGTGCGGAGGTTACCGAGTTATTTGCGGTGTACCTAACGGGTTTGTGCACAGAAACATCCATCTTCTGAAATGGTAATACGAACGTAACGTAATGGACGTTTGCATAAATATCACGTGTCAAAGAACAAAGCTAGACTACTAGTTTCAGTGAGAATTATTTTAGACTACATGTTTAGTAAATGGTACCTCTTCTTCGGCGTTCCTAAGCTGTTCACGAAGGTCAGCCTCGCGCTCCAGCGAGTCCTGTAGGTCTCTGAGGAGTTGTGCAGGGTCTTCTTGGCTACCACCGCGAGTTAATGAAGACCGTGATACTTTCTGGACATAGAAAGATATTTCGTTACTATAAAACAATTAGAGTAAGTGTTCTCTACCAAAAGTTTATAACGTTGTTTGATGCCATAGTAGGCAAAAACTTCATTACCAGCAATAAAGTGAATAGGTAATATATGAACTAAAATTGAAGCGTTATATTGTTTAAAAGTTTAAAGTACCCCGTCCGTAAGTTGGTTCTTTTTAAGGTTGGCGGGAGGAGTTCCAGAGGCCGCAGCGAGCTTCGCATTAGCCTCGGAAAGCTCCCTCTGCAACCTCAGTGCCACTTCAGTGGACCGCGCGACTTCTTGTTCTAACTCCTTGATGCGGTTCTCCCGTTGTAATCCATCTTGGCCACCCACTATCTGGAACAAGAATTATCTAATATACCTAATTCTAATCTAATCAACACTAGATCGGTCGATTGGAAGATGCGACCAGCGGCTTCCAGAGATCTTTATCAGGTTATATGTCAGGCTACCGGGTGGCTGAAACTGGCTTGCATCAGAAGCCATTGAAAGGCGTATGTTCAACAGTAGATATGGGGAATTTCAATAAATTTAAGTGGAGTTTCTCCATTGGGGTTTGGGAGTCACACCAAGATAGTCTGATGTCCTAGATAGTTGGAAACTAGTCTTTTTCTTTTCTACACCTAAAAGAGGTGTAGATTAGATAAAAATAATGATTACAAGGCCTGGCCGGACGCCGAACGTCGGATACAATTAGATCGTCGTCGGATCATAAATATTTACTTAGGCAATTGATTGACATTGTTACTAGCTAGAGATTTATTGCATTATTTATTTTATTACATCTGTGTAGATACATGATACATGGACTCATTAATTTAACTTTGTTGGTTTGACAACACATTTATTTTAGATAATTTTCTGAATATTTTTTATACGTGTGTGTTATGCGTTATAACTTGATAATTAACTACAAGTTGATATTAATTCAACAACATACCAAAATTTTTTTTCTTTCGTATTGTTGACTTTAATGAACCGCCAGAGTTCGACAGTGGGTGTCCGATTTTATTTTCATTGAAAAGCTGATAAGTGGGTTTTGCATCTATTCTGGAAATAAAAGCTTAGCTTCGCTCGTTTCTTATGCATGAGGGTGCGAGTTTGAAACCTGGCAAGTAATTATATGACTTTTTCAGTTACATGTACTTTCTAGATTTTAGACACCACGGACAAACCGTGAAAGAAACATAGTGGGGACACCTGGACTTATAGTTTGTAAGTTATAAGTTTGAAATCGCCAATCCGTCTGGAGCTAGCGTGGTGATAAATGCTCAAAACAACTAAACTTAAAATCCTTTTTGAGCAGTGTCTGGACCGAGTTTTGTTTAAATCCGTTATTATTTTATATCTTTTTTGGGTAGGACTATGTATTTTTAATTGGGACCATTCTGACTAGGTGTAAAGATTCGCAAATACTGTGAATACAAGTATTATGTCCCATATATAATTACCTCTAAAAGTTTCTTCTCGTGTTCCGCTTTCTCTTGCTCCAGCTGATCAGCTTTCCTTTCAGTCTTTTTTAACTTAAACGATAAAACTCTACAATTCTTTATGGTCTGCTCTAGTTCGCGCCTGAGTGACGAATATTCATCGGCTTGGTCCTCCCTGAAATATTATGAGAATGTTACTTTGGACAGCCCTTTTTTCCTAGAGCTAATGTGCATGGTAAACAACTTTAAAGTAATGTTTGTTATCAATTTACAATCGCACTTTCGACGGGAAATTGTTATAAACGTGACCGATTTAAGTCTTTAATTGAGGTGGGTATCAAATTGCGCTCGACGAACGAATATCTAGATTTGCCTTTGTTTCTCGGAACCTGCAGTTAAGCAGTCATGTCATAATAGCTACATAAATAATATTTTGAGGAAGATAATCATTAAATAACTTCTTATGCACCGGGTGGGGTAACTGGGTGCACTGGAAGGAGGCACTTACTAAAGCCTCTATGTTCGTTCCCCGCGGTGCATTATTGCGCTTGCAACCCCGGATACATAGATACATACAGTAGGTACGGCTGACGTATCTTGGCGAGTCTGAAGTTAGCCGTTTGTCTGCGCAATGGATCTTTTAGGAACAAAAATCTGTACTGCGTACTAACTTCAGCGTACTAACTTCAGACTCGCCAAGATACGTTGGCGGTATTGTACATTATGAATGATGCTGCTACAAGTTAATTTATCTATGAAGTTATCACGCTACTACGCGAAATTTGAAAAATAAAGAAATAATAAATGCAAATCTATAGCGAGATTTATCATTTGGATTCGAGAGGAATAATTAATCTTTAATATGAACTTGAAAATAGTGCCAAGGTTAAATGATTGAGTGATGTGTAACAATATCAGCCAAAACTATTTTGGCTACAGTTCATTTACAATGGCACGTACAATGAACCCTGTTTTTTGTATTACGTCTTAACCTGTGACGTTGATCATAAAACTATCCAATAGCATATAATTACTATTAAAGAGAAATCAAGATAGTCTTACAGATAGATATGTAGCCTGCCGTTTTTACACGTTGGCAGGTTGTAAGTCTACTAAGGTTATAGCAGTTAATTTCTGGTGACAAAATTACCATTTTAGGAACAGTTATTTTTTTTGTCAATTTTTAGAAGGTAATCTTTCTCAAAATTTCGCCGGCTGGAGTTGGGAGTAGATACCAAAACCGCGGCACGAAGCAGCAGTTCTAACTGTATGGCTTTTAAACAGAAAGAGTGTGACATTTCCTTCTGCCTCACCGAGGGCGGCCATTTTGATTTTCTATCTATACAAAAAAGGTACCTATAATCTCATACCTGAAGTTATCCTGCATCTCCTCAATCTCCTCTTCAAGGTCACGCAGTTCTTTCTTCATGTCCTCGTTCTCGTCCATCAGCTCCTCACACAGCGTTTCAGCAGCCAACAGCTTCGCACGGAGCTGTTCTATCTGCCGAGTTTGTGCTTCTATTGAGGGACGAGACTGTAACAAAAGAGGAAGCTTTAGAAAAGGGTAATCAGGATGACTTCATAAATTCTTATAACACAAAAATACCGATATATGAATCCTCACATACAATGTATAATTGAGACCATTTGATACCAATAATATTAAAATTGTGAAAAGCAAAGTGAGAAAAGTTGCTTTTCTCACTTTGCTTTAGTTGCATAGAAAGTTCAATAAGCTTTGGGCTCCAAAAAGTGAATGATAGGTAAAACGCAAAGTGGTAAAAGAAACCTCATGATATCAAACTAAAAGAACCCAAAAAGTTGTCACATACGAATGTAATGGACCTATAAACACTGATAAAATAATATTCTTACATCAAGTTCACTCTCAATTTCTCTGACTCGTAACGTTAGATGTTTCTTCTCGTCTTTGAGGTCCTCATTTTGTGAGGTCAGCTCGTTGACCTTCTGCTGCAATTTGAGCACTTCTGAGGACCGTCCTGTGGTGTACTTGTTCACAGAGTCTATGTTCGCGAGCCTTCGCAGTAGAATGTCACTTTTTTCCTTCTCCACTCTCTCACATCGTTTCTTCAGCGTATCCACTTCTTGCTTCAAACTCTCGATTTGATCCTGAAATTAAATTGTTTGTTATTAGTTGAGTCATCGAGTAAGATTCCTAATCCTAATACACTTTGTGTAAGGTTCATCACTGGATCATTTCGTAACGGGATTGGCCTTGTTACCTAGGGCATGGTATTAACGTCATGCAGGCTAGTATTCAAATCTTCTGCTCTTGTTTGACCAGAAGACTCGGACAAAAGATTTCTTGCTGCGCCAGTCATATTTGAGGTTACCTATTTGATAGAGACTGGGAAAATTTTTCAAGGACAAGTATTAGGTCCAAATAAGGAGTAAGGAGTAGAATTCACCTGATATTCCTTAACGTTGGCGTCGACGAGTGTGGTCTCGGTGGTGACAGTTCCTGCAGTGCTGGCGTCATCATCAGAGTCATCTTTATCTCGTGAAGGACCGCCTCTAACAGGAGGCTTGGCACTTGCTGATGAGTTACGTGAATTTTTCACCTGAGCCAACCAAAAACAGCTCTGTTACACAGAAATTTAGATATAAACAAGAGTGACAACTATTTATAGTGATTTATTAAAATTGGAGCAGGCTGTCTGTTCTTTTACATTTTATATAAGTTCGGATAACAATCTCATATCATAAATAGGAGGACATCTTATCAATAATCCATGTGTGGTAATAGATTTAGTTTATTTTAGCACTCGTTAAAAAACCATCTACCTAATTATTAAGTACGTATGTTTATCAATGTCACCTGCATCATAAAGTTGACATCATCTTTTGTAGAACTTCTGTCTTCTTTCGGTCGCGCAGGTTTTTCTTCATGATACGTTTCTTTACTTCTTGATAAACTTCGTCTCTCTCTTTCTTTTTCTATACTTGATTCCTTTTCAAAACTATTTTGAGATTTAATTAACTGCATCTGTGAAGTTTGAAGAACATTTGGTAAATAACACATACTTATTTTTAAATCAACCTGTTGCCTAAAAATCTTAACAAACAAACTGAAACGTCTTGGTGATTTATGGAGCATTTGATTTTTGACTCAGTAATTAATTATGTTACGAAACATTCGTAGAAACTATTTTGCAATATTCGTTTATTTATAACCGTATATTATGAAGTGGAATCGGATAATAGGTCATTTCCTCAATTAATTATAAAGCTAGCGCATTGCCAAGCACTAACTTTCATGGTGACCTTTTTATGTTTATTTTGGGCACCGCATCGCGTTCAGTTCGGGTTGAAAGCTACGAGCTACGGGCAGTAGCGGAAGACAGTTCTATAGCTGTGACCCACTTGTACTTCGCACGTCTATGAAACCAAGGTGAAGACAATACTCTTATTCACACATCATGCTTTTAAACTACTCAATTTCATAAATATTTGTAAACTAAATATCATGTTAGTTACTTTTTTATCTAAACTTAGCCCGTAATTCTCAGATTATGCGTAAAATATTTTCAGCGCTATAAAAGCACGCCTTTTGTTCTTGATGTTTTGGCATTGATTTTATGAGAATGTTTTATGAGTTTTATACGGTTAATGTCGAACTTGTACTTATATGTTGGTCATTAAAACAGGTCAATAGGTCAAGGTTTTCGGAGTTACGATACCTATATTCCATGGTATTTCTAGTTAAGTGATTTTATATGTTTATTGCTGTTAAGAAGTTTATAGGGAAGCAGTAAATATACCTTTCGCACGCGTTCAGCTAGCGAGTCGTTCTTGTTTATAGTAATTTGTGCTTGCGCCGGCGCAGGTGCCGGCGGAGGAGATGGCGACGGTCGTCGCAGTGTCACTGTATCTGAAATTTAATAATATTATTTAACTGTACAGTTGTAATTATGAAGTGTTTGGCGATATAAAGAGGGCACACATTACATTTTACCACGGCCTCATAGAATACCGGCGTGAAATAATCACAGCGGTGTGTTTCGCCGTGTGTCTCCTTCAAATTGTGTAATCCTTCCCCGTCCCTAATCACAAAATCTCCAAATCCCTAATCTCAAAAGGTCAGCAACGCATTCGTAACTCCTCCGTTGTTGTCCATGGGCGCCGTGAATTGCTTACCATCAGGTAATTCATTGGCACGTCCACTTTTGCCGACTTATCACATAAAAAAATCTTACATTTACATAGCCCATTATTGAAATTTGAAGACAAACCTGAAGTGTGATTCTGCCCTGTATCTAAAGATGGCAATGGTCCCGTTAGTCGTCTCTTGGGCAGCTTCAGACTGACGGTGACAGCGTTCGTACTCTCGGTCTCGTTGGCCCCCAGGTCCGGCGTCGACGTCCACGATGCACTGGTTCTTGTGAACCCTGGACAGGTAGGGGAAAGTAAGGTAAACTGAACTGAAATCTAGGAAGAAGTTGAAAAACTAACTTTTGTGTAGAAAGAATCTAATATTAAAGTTTGTTTCTTAAAGAGTGTTAACATCATAGCCTTTTTTTTGTAGTAGATACATTTTGAAATTGGAATGGGCTTACGTTGTCTGATGTTCCGTTCAGGCAAAAATTTTCGAAAAGCATAATGTTGATTTTCGCTTGCAAAATGTATGTTATAGTTCATTCCATAATTAGAGACAACAATTTGACAACAGCAAATGTCAAACTACAAAATAATGTGGCCAGATTTTTTAACATAGTGATGGACCCGAGTACGATGTTTTAAAATACCGATACCGTTTTTTTTATAAATTACCCTGAGCAAAACAAAAAAAGTTGCGGGGATGTTTTTATAGTATAATTGTACCTAGTTATTAATATATGAAGCTAAAAAAGGACTTGAAGATTATTACAAATTAAATGAACTCGGAGCAATATGAAGAGATCAGAGATCGGATGGGAGCGATATTACAATCTGACTGACAGACATTATATTTATAATTATAGAAACCAATACCAACGTATTTCTAGGCTTAAATTATGTTTGACATTCCATCTGTCAAATTGCTGTGAGGAAATACCAAAGCTGACCATAGTTTCTTGTAAAATAATGATATCATATCAATGCTAATAGTTAATAGTTTTACAAATCATTTTCGGTATTTCGGTTAATACCGGTCGCGGGACTTCACTATTTATGAAATGGAAAAAACATGCAACACTCGAAATGTCAAATCTTTGTCTCTAATTATGGAACGAACTATAGAAATGCTTACAAAATTCTTGATCAAATTCAATGCATTAAAATTTTGTAAAGTTGTACATGACTACTAGCTAAGCTGGAGAAGCTGGCTATATTTCACAACACCTCCTCTATAAAGCTCACCTACATAAATCCATGTCTACAAATATTTTCCGTACCGCTTTGTCTATTTAAATAAGTCTGTTGGCTTAGTAACGTAGGACTCCCCCATAGGATGCCAACTTTTCCGGTGTCTGGCAATGGCAACCCACATGCGGACGCCACGCTTAATGTATCTAAGAGTACCCAACATTGCCTCATGCCCCTAATGTTCTTCTCAACAAGTTAAGGAATATTTTGTATCTCGCACACCAGTACCTAACTCATTTTTAACATTTTGATTTGTACTGTTGTAGGATAAAAATTAATAAATACGTGCGGAGATTATCACAAGTTTCCAGAAACTTCCCACAAGTGTGGAAGAGTCATGCTTCGGCACGAATGGGTTGGCTAGACCGGAGTGATACCACGGCCTCACAGAAAACCGGCGTGAAACAACCACAGCGCTGTGTTTCGCCATGTGAGTGAGGTTACCGGAGGCCCAATCCTTCCCCTCCCCCAATCCCTCCTCAATCCCTAAATCTCCAAATCCCTAATCTCTAAAAGGTCGGCAACGCACTCGTAACTCCTCCGTTGCGGGTGTCCATGGGCGGCGCTGATTGCTTACCATCAGGTAATCCGTCGGCTCGTTTGCCAACCTATTACATAAAAAAAAACATTGATAGATCGGGATTGAAAAAAAAAACCTTTTGGACTACCAATAGACTATTTCAGAATTTATGGAGTTGCCTCATATTTTATTGATTTTATCTAGTTCAAACATCATGATCATATGAATTGCAGGGAGAAATCAGAACAAAGGACGAAGAGGAAGTTATAAGTTGGCAACTTTTGCAGTATGAAAATAATAATTAAGAAATAAATTACGGTTTGTAGTGTTTACCTACAGAAGGCAAAACGGAACATTCTATTGTTAGGTACACACTTATATACACACATTTTCATTAGCTAGGTAGGTTAGAGTAAATTTCTTCATTTTCCTGGGTTTTGGCGCCTAGTATTATTTTGTAAAATTGTAACCCAAGCTCCTAATAAATTTGATACGTTTAAATCTCCATTTTACAAATGTATTAATATACCTACTACATCGTTGATTTTCAGATTTTTAGAATCTGGTTCCAATACCAATTATGTGTTAGTGGGTTTTTCGATAGATTTAGAAATACACAATGAGATGAAAAAGTGGCATATGTATATAATAGATTCGCCCTTTATTTCAAAGGACGTCTCAAAGAAGTCTTTAGTAAATATTTAACTTTTATAAGACGAAACTTGGAATGTACAAAGCAGAAAAAAAAATCACGATGGAAACTTAATTTCAATAACTGAGAAATATAACAGAATAAGGACAAGGAGAAGGGATGTGATAATGGTGATGACCTCTGTCTAACCTTATAGGAGATAAAAGGCTTATGATATGTACTAACAAACTACCTGATTGTTGTTATAAATACGTACGTATATTAGATAAAGTAAATAGTTACATTATATAGAGAATCAAAATGTAAATGTGTGGGCGAGAGACGTTTAAATTAGTTACAGTGTGTGAGTAATACAGGTGGTCGGTGGATCAATGCGGTCTTGGCTCACGTTCGCAGATTAGTATGCATTGATATTTTCATGTATTTATGTGTATAACTCTATTGAATTATTATATAATAGTATATTTTCATAGATCTCTCTCTCTCTCTGTATCATACCTATTAGGAAAATAACAGATTTCTTGAGGGGAAGCAGTTCTTTGAAAGTCTTTCAAACTGTCTGTCGTTCGTCGTGAAAATTATCCGATGACTTTTCCGTCTTGGGTAGGGCGAGAGGAAGACTCTCACGGAGTAAAAGCTACATGGTATTATTGGGCACGTTTTTTTTCAAAAACGTTTTTAATTTTTATTAAGCAAGCCTTGATCATCGGTCTTGGAATTAGGACTGTCGAGCGTAAGTTCAAGTTGAAACCCAAGTAAAGGCAAATATGAAATTCTTAGTGTTAAATCGTTAAGGAGGATTCTTCACGGTAGCCCTACCTTTTATGTTTTTTACGTTTTTTTGCAATTTGCAGCTAGCTATCGTGTAATATAAATAAGTACACATATCTATGATTTGTAAAACTAGGTATACAGTATATGTGTAGGTAGCAACGTCGGACAATAGATAATAACTAACGGTGTGACTGTAAAAGGAACTAACAATAACCATCTATTATCAAGGTGCATGAAGAGGTCATCTGTCATAAGTTGTTAGATGCGCTAGGCGCTAGTTAGCTTTGAACTGGACATTGATTTTGCCCGACATAGCTATCTAGATATGTTTTTAGCATTTAATATTAGGTACTATTCCTATAATAATAAGTTATAGGAGCGGGAAACAAATAAAAGGTCCATTTAATGGCTATGTGTATTTGATAACAGTTTTTAAAACTATAGAATGTTCCTTCAGAACCTTAATTACGCAAAAATTCAAACTAATATTATAAATGTCATAGTAACTCTGTCTGTTAGTCTCTTCTTCACGCCTAACTACTAAATATACCTGTGAAATTTGGAACAGACATAGTTTGGAACTCGAGAAAGGACATGGGTTAGTTTTTATAATAAAAATCTGCAAATCCCTTTTTACTTCACATTAAGTCACTTTTTCACGCGAACGAAGTCGAGTCGTGAGTAAAACATAAAAGGAGGGGAGAAAAATAAAGTTCGGATTTATTGAAGCCACGGGTTGTCGACGAATTTTTCAATGGTTAGTTAAAGGTTAACTATGTATGGTTATGGGGAATAATTATGATGCTGTCGCGTCAGAATGTTTGTATAAGACAGTGGCAACAACAATTTTATTCCTCGGATAACATTTATCAAACTATTGAAAAATCAGCCCTATAAGTTGATTGTATGTGTGTTAACCTTCATTCCCTTAACACACTTGACGACCGACTTTCCTTCCTTTAACGCCTGTGACGATGATCACAGGCTCCATTCAAAGGTAGTCAGTAAGAAATCGCAAAGCGATAACACCGCCCATTGTATACGTTATACATATATCTGTATCCTGTATGATTTTATGGTGTACAATAAAGTCTAAATAAATCAATAAAAATAAGATATTGTGTACTTACTTAAATATCCTACGAAAATAAAATATAACCTTAACGTAGGGGTACCCACCCTTAACAGTTATGAATAAGTAAGAAGAAAGCACTTACCTGTGGAGAAGGCGTCTTTCTTGGGAGAGTCGATTGTGCTAAGGTTGCTACTAGATGCCCACCCCCGCCCCACCTTCTCCGCTTCACCGCCATTGTCTTCATCACGACTTCTGTTTACATAAGAATACAACTGTTAGATTAATTAAAACTGGAACTTATCATAACCTTGATAAGTTTTAGTTTCGATAAAAAAATTACAGTATTAATTGAAGAAATATAATTGCTAAATCAGTAAATAGTACCTACACCGTACACACTACATACAGTATACACGGATACACATATGATAGTAATAAAACCGAAATATTTTTTTACAAGGTACTCAACATAAAACTGGTGAATTGCATGGGTAACATTTAGATACCTATATAATATACATATGTATATCTTCTCCGTTTTGGATATTCAGATGACATGAGAACAACATAGGCAACAACTAATGTAGGCAGAATATAGCCTGAACTGAACTGGTACCACCTGTGTTCTGCTTCTTTGCGAATAAATGTTTCTCTCTCATGATAAGGATAGTTTTCAACTAGTCAAAGTCTGTCTTTATTTGAAATGTACTTAAGTACTTTTATAGGTTGGGACGACAAACAACAACACTTTCTGATGGTAAGCAATCGGCGTCGATTATGAACAACGCAGCGCCAGATGATTTGGAAGTGTATTAGCGGCCTTCTGAGGCTAGGAGGATTTGATATGCCGGGAGATTAGGCCTCCTTACCTAGCCTACTTCTCATTGTGAAACATAACACAAACTTTGTTTCATGCTGGTTTTCTTAGCGGTCATGGCAGGGTTCATGTATCCGAAACATGGCTCTCCCGCACTCAAAAATCAGTGTTATAGAATAGTCTACTAAGTTTTTGCTACGAGATTGTATTTCATGACCATATTTTGCGTCCAATTTCATTCTAGTTTCTCTTTAAGTAAATTATTTGGTAATTCACTGAATCTAAGTTTTAAAATAAATTAGATAAAGCTTTAACATTTTAATAGATTTATAAGTACAAAGAATTAAAATCAAACTATTATGATGATTAGTAATTACTGCGAGCCTTGATTTAGGCAGTACTTAGGTATTAACGATTGTGTTGCTTCGTCATAATAAATGCAGATTTTGCGATTATGAAGCAGTACAACATCCCTTTTCTGAAAAGCAGCCTGAAGAGTTAAGATAGCTGTATGATATCATTAGCCACGTTTTCATTATCAGTCCACTCAAACTGACATTCTCAGATACTTATATGTTTATAAATCTATTTTCCAGATATCTACACAAAACGAAATATCTATGCGTCAGTGCTGACGTAGGTGAGGAAGGCGAATGCTGGTCTAAAATGTATCAAGTCGTGCGAAAATGAAAGATGAAGATACATGTGTTTGATCTCCAAAACAGAGCTAAGCTTGGACGAATATCAAAGAGCTAACATTTGATACACAATTCCAATTTTGTTTGTAAATGTTGACAAACTATGTTTTGTTTAGAGCATGTAGGCAGACGTGGACCATACATTTTCTAGTCTAAATATTTATGATTTTATGTCTTAATCTATATTATTTACGACCGCCAAACGGCTAACAGGGTTGGCCTGATACGGTTCAAATTGAAAGCTTTTAGCAACTGCTGTATGAGTCATAAGTAGGTAGATATTGAGTGCAGACTCAAACATCCTTCTCGTTGCACTTTACAACCATAAGATTAGGCTCAAGTGATTTGTTACTGGCCATTACAAATGGTATTTGATTATAAACTGTGCGTAGGTATATGCATGTATAATGACAACGTAGGTACGTACCTACACACGAAGGCGGAATGCGTCAAACTTCAGCAACCGGGCGCAGTACAAACAATCCACAAAAACGCTCAGGAATTTGGAATTGTGCCATCGTTTTTTTTCTTGTTAAAGATTAGAAAGAATCGACTAGGGACAGGTAGGAAAGTAGAGCGGCCAAAAATGTTCCGGTTATAGGTCATGGTTAACTCAAGATCTGTGACATTTTCTTATTAGTCAGCATATAACTTGGTTCTCATCAGAATCATGAGACTATAGCTATTAAGTAGGCATACATAGGTATCTATTAATAAAGAAACGACGTAGCTTTGTATTAATTAATCCATTCCAGGAAATGATTAGAACCGTGGAATGTCTTGAACATGTGCGGTCACTAAAATCTCGCAACATGTGTATGCAAGATAACTCCGAGTTATGCTCGCATTAGAGCGAATGCATGCTCGTAATCTCCATAATGTTATTTCATTGCACACTAATTTTACGGCGGCCATGATTGCTTTATAGCAATTTTGAATTGAGTCCATTCCTGGTGACCTTAAAACCATACATTAACAAACGATCAGTGGATTTATATTTGAACGTAATCTTAACAATCCAACATACGTACATTAGGTAATCATAATAAGTATATTACACGCGTGTTAATTATTTATTCAATTAGTTAGGTACTGATTTCTCTTATTTGTAGATAGTGGGCAACAATTAGGTAAATTCTATGAAACTTATTAGATAGATACTAATAGTTAAGTAATTGGTCAATTAAAATAAAAACAGCAAACATTGCAAGTCGATTTCGCGCACGAAGTGTTCCCTACCAATAACTAGGTATAGGTATGCATAAGAGCTCCAATCAATCGTTTTCACCAAAGAATACATAATTTATATACATTAAACTGTCTACCTATCGCTGTTCTGTAGATTCGGCTCTGTTAGAAATAAAGACGAATGGAAGGATAGAAAGTGAAAACCTAAAAGTAATAGGGTCTCATATTTAGCTTTCGGGTACAGAACCCTTACAAGCATTTACAGTGTGATTGTTTTTTAAATTATAAGTTCATGCCCGTTGACAGTTTTTGAAAGTTTGTTTTCAAATACAGAAAAATGGTTTGCTGGGATGATTCCTTTTTATTTAACAAACATGAGCGCTGTCTCTTTCTCTCAAAAGAAATAACGAGTCCTCGAGGAAAGTGCTGTCTATTTCTTCAGAGGCTAAGGGTTAAGGGACCCGTGCAACTAATCCTTTTCAATTTCATTTATTTTCCTATTTATTTTGATAAATAGAAAATTGCCATTTAATCGGCTTTATAACATGGTGTAAGGAACGCCACATTGGTGTATCTGGCGTCATATCATATCGTATAAATATTTTTAATTAGTCTATGTAAGATTGTAGTTAGGTAAACGTTTTACGAATCCACAAATGCTCAAAGCTTTTCATAATTTGGTTAAAACCGTTCTCGTGTTGCGATGTCGTTCATTTGTTCAGTAATAGGTACTAACTAAGATATTTCATTATTCTTTAAGTCTTTCCTGAGTAAATAGTTGATTACCTGCCCCTTACTACCGCTAATGACATGGGCATTTTGGAATTAAAACATAGAAGTCTATGAAGTTGGTATGATCCACTGACCGTGACGACGGCGTGTTCCAAGTGGAGAGGCTGGGCGTAGACACGGTGAAGTCGTCTTCCTTCTTGCGCACCCCGCCGTGCTCCTTGTAGTCGCGGAAGCAGCGCTTGCAGCGCGTCGGCCAGCGCACCTGCGGGTGGAAGCCCAGCGGGCACAGCGGGTCGCCCTTCGCCAGGGGGTACAAGTGATGCATTCTCACTCAACACACACAAATGCACTTTACAAATGTCAAAGATTTCACCTAAATGCCGCTAACGAATAGTTCGTCACATTCCTCCTCTCTCACGCTGCTACGTCCCGTAACATAGGATTGCACCAGGTATAAAGGGAACTACGAATAACCACATACACACGCAAATGTTTATGGAATGAAAATTACGATTTTAATCTATAAATAATAATTTATTTAACAAGCAACGTGTTCAGGCGCTCGTACGTCTGCACCCAACAGTGGCAATAAAAATATCTCGCTGCTAGCACTGAACCGGGCGACCTAAATCGGCTGCTCTGAACTCGCTACTATTTCTCAGACTTTGTGTCCGCGTAAACACACGCGATATTATCAGTGGAAGTATATCGAGGCGACGCTTCGCGGCGTAAGCTCCGGGGCTAGGGTCGGCGCAGGAGCGCTTGGAGTAGCAGTTCAGTCATGTAATACGCAGTAGAGAGGAGCAGGCGGGCGGCGGCGCGGCGGCGGGCCGGGCGGCGCGATACTGGCGCATGGCGGCCGCGGGCAGCGCGCCAACCTCCACCGCGCCGCCACTCCACTTATGTTCTATTACACCACACACCGCTGAACCACTGCCCGCCTGCTGACCGTCTATAAAAATAAAACAGACTTGCTAATAAAACGCGTCGAGGAGTATCTCGGAGGGACGAGCCGGATGCAAGACGAGTGACGTTGTGCCCCACTGCACGCTGCGCCGGCTCATCTTGCGATTCGATGGTGCACATAGTGCTGATGAGAGAAATCTTACCTCAGATGTAGACATTTTTAAATATATATAGATGGCTCTGGAATGCTTGTTTATGAGTGTGGAAGTTCGCGTTACCGATAATAGATGGAAGAGTCAATAATAACTTTATGAATGGGCGTTGACGTCAAAGCGAGTATTTTTCATTGCGTAGGTAGGTGTATACTTACCCATACGTCTGAAAGTCAGATGGAAGAGTAAATAAAAGACGGATATTATAGTAAAACTTTAATAAATCTGGTATAAAGAAAAATATTTTGTAATAAGTATTAACTAGGATAAAAGGGTTAGGATATTTTCTATTTACGATAATCTTAACTTAGTCTACGATATATTCACATAATTTACACTTTGAGACGTTAAATATAAATTCGAACGATTATGCTGTCATTGTGTTTGTGGCCGTACATCGTTTAGAAGTTACAATATAACTTTGAACACAGTGGTAGTTATTGACGGTTGATCCCAGTGTAGCTTCGATAGGTACCTAAGAACTAGATGTAATAAACTTTTTAACTATATAACTTGTCATAAATGTGAAGAGAGAAATAAAAACTTACACAATGATATGTTATGTTAGAAATTATTGGTTAATCTTATAAAATGTACTTTGAGCATGTTAGCAGAAGTCGCCTTGGTTCAAAGGTTCATCTTCCTTCTTGTCGTACACCAATGTTTTGTATATAACCTCTTCGAAGTGCAAAGCATTCAAGCCCTTGGGTTCAGCAACTTTAATTTTGACGTCACCAGGGTATAGGATCTCTCCCTTGTTCTTCGTGCAGCCCATCACGAGCGATTTCTGTAGTTTGTCAATGCAGGGGATCTCTGTTAAAATAAAGACAAAGTGAAGTTTAGTTAGTTGAAATAAAAAATGCAAAACTTCATGGGATTTGTAGGTAGATACTTTGTGGCTGTCATATTTTATAAGTAGTCTGTAGATGTACAAATGCATCTTTAAGCTTTACATTATCCGGTCTTATTCAAGTCAAGGCCAAGGTGTTACTCGATGATGAGCAAGCAAGGGTAGCTCGCCAGCCGAGCGCCCGGCGTTTAACGTTCATTGCGCGCCTCAAAGCCATTTAACCACCACAGATGGAGCTCAATAGGGCTAATGTTCAGCCGGGGTTGCGGGTCAAGCGCAATAATGCATCGAGGCCCTGGCTTGGAAGTCTTGGAACAGGAGAAGGAACGAGTCTGGCACTTTTCTCGGCCCGCTTAGGACGAGAAAATCATTTGATGATTTTCCATAAAAAAAGCTTTACATTTCCAAATAATTAAAAAGTTATTCGTATACCGAATAATACTTATAATTGAAGACAAATAGGTAAGTGATTCTAGAATATTCCGTATCTAGAAATTAGTGATTTGCAACCACAAAAAAGAACAGACTGTGGGTAGTGGAAGCAGCAGATCCATTTAATCTATTTTAAAACAAAAGTTAAAGAAAAAATTGTAATAAAATGGACATGTTCTTTGTTCTTATTGTAATCGACTTGTGTGTAGTGGTATTTTAATGTACCAAGCACATTCTGTTGACTGACTGATTTGCTTATCTTGGCTTTATAATTTGCGTTGATAAGAAAAACACATAATACAGTCTCACGAAAGTAATGCATTTGCTAATTACAAAACTGCTTTTTATCAAGGTTTATGGACTATATAGAGGAATATGGAGACATTAAAGAATTCAATGGATAGTTATATACTTTAGCTTTTCTAGTCTGATCAGGCTGTCTAGTCGAGAAAGTTCAGTAACTACTGCAGCCTTGCACAAGGATGTCTGTTAAGAGGACCCAATAACTCCTTATTGGCACTGATGGTACCTAATCATTGAGGTGGTTTGAGAAATATAAGAACTCCACACTTTCTAGTCTTTCTCCCTTAATGATTCCGCCTTTTAAAGGTTCCTCCCGTAAGGTCGAAGTAGGTTGTTGGATTTGGAATTGGAAACTAATAAAGGTTGTGAACTAGCTACATATTAGGTAGTACTTACATGTATGTATAGTATAGATATAGCGGCATGGTGGTGATCACGCAGGAAATAAGTAGTTTTATAGGCCTTTCAATTTAACGCCCTAGCCTGTTTATAAATATTATCGCAGTACAACAAGTTTCTGGTAGCTGTTTACATCTAATTTGAATTTCGCGCGCATCAGAGTTCTAACCTAACCTAACATTCTCCAAGATAGCCCGCAAAATTTAAACTTTTTTTTGCAATTTACCGCTCGACTTTCGGAATGTTTGTACATATGTTGATAGAAATAGTAATTGTGGTAATATTGCCATACACGTGTTTATACAACTACGCTTGCTAAAACGATCAACATGTGTTTGCAATGTAAAAAAGGCGCCAAACTGTCCTATTTTAGTAAAACCTTAAAGTTGTCAAAATTTTTAAATTACAAAGTCAAAGTCAAAAGTCAAGTCATATTTAGGTATTCACATACCCACCTAATAGTATCGTTATAATATAACATTATGGTCCTATGTACCTATGTATGTAAATAAATTACTTCGATATGCAGATATCAATGACTAATATTATCTTAATGTAATTTTCCTTATTATTTGTCCTTATTTAGCAGCTTTGTTGCATTTTGCATATACCTACATTATTAATGTAGCTTGGAATACTCTTGAGTGGGAATACAAATTATGTAGCGACAAATTTATTTGTTATGCATTTTAAAAATAGACCGAATTGTCTATTCTCGTTTAGGTTCCTGATTTCCAACAACATATCTTATTGTTTTCACCCGTAATCAAGGCAAGATGGGGCAAGATGGGGCTTAAGTCAGGTGTATAATACAATAATTATTTATGTAGGCACCTATTTAAATGCATTATAACTGTTGCTAGCTACCATTTAAAACGCCTTGTTTACGTAACCGTTACTGGTTTGTTGTGTCGGCAGTTTCTAGTAATCACTTACTATTGACTAAGGTACCTAAAGTACTATATAGGTAAAGCCTTTTTCAAGGGGGATATTCATTGCTTCTTACGCCTTGGGTGGGGCGTGTTAGATTCTTTTTGACTAAAAACCATCTCGTTCCTTCTCCTGTTTGTTCCTGCTGGTTTGATTATTTATTTTAAGGAAGAATTTTCTGTTCAGATAATGAACTAATTAACTACTGCTTAACTACCTAAGTAACAACATTTTGCTGATAGTGGAGCAATATAAAAAAATCCTTCTTATAATTGCAGTTATTGGCAAAAAGCTTGTTTCTGTCTATCTGTGTGTTAAGAAGTAGGTACCTGAAGTGACGACTTTCTTGATGGGCGTGCCGAGGGCGTTCTCAATGACGCGGACATCTCTCACCAACTGCTGGAACTCGGGAGGGGTGAGGGAGCACACGTGGTCAGTGCCTTTCATGGTCTTCTCCAGGGTAATGTGCTTCTCCAATACCTGGAAACAAGACATTAAGAATTATAGGATACTTCTCAGTCCGTTGCTTAAATGCCAATAAGTACCTAATCTCTACCCTATTTATGTTACCTGTGTAGCTGTGTGAAGAATGCTTATGAGTGATAAGTGTAGTGTCAAATGAATTCTAATTTGCTGTCACAACACAGGACTTTGTCAGGTATGGCCTAAAGAATAACTATTAGGTACATTTAACAACTATAAGTAATACTAATGTTCAGTTAAATATCGGCAAATTTATACTTATAACATTAACACCACAAATCATCATGACAGTAATAACGAGACGAAGAATGCTAATCATTGGGCGTGGAAATATTCGTTCCTATTTACTTAAGTACGTACCTAGGTAGTATATAAGTAAAGGCTCATATACCTACCTACATGACACTGTTTTGTGAACGTGTCAGTGCAATAATTTAATTTAACATCTATCTATAAGGTTAATTTACGTGCCACCACGTATTATTTAGACCATGCTAGTAGGTATATTATTGCTTGTGTAAAATGGTGCCTTGGTATTTAGACAAAGGAAAGATTAAAATTCTTTCAATATACATATATAACATTCGATACAATAGCGCTGTATGTATATGTATCATGAATATCATAATAAAATGTTATCGCGAGTGGCTACATAATTTTGACATCTCTTCGATAAACCGTAGATACTTTATTATCTAAACACACTACCTATCTATAATAAAGTAAACAGAAAGAGCGCACGAAATGCAAATACAACATGAGTTTGTAAACGAAAACACACGAGGAGATACTAGGTAAATTATTAGATAT